TCTCACCACACCCCTCGAGAGCAATACCGTTTCGGACACTAGTAACCGCAGAGGCGATTAGCATCCGACTCATAAAGCCTGAGCTGTGCGCACAACGCGAATTGATTCAAACTCGCAAACTCCCCTGGCCAGGGGAAGAGATAGTCGCTTGTTCACACGACCATGACGTAATACCGTGAAGTGTGACATAAATTGTGATGTATTAGCCTGTAGAAGGATCACCGCAAATGAGCTTGTTCGCTTCTCTGTTTTCTTACATTGTGTAAGGATGTTATATTCGGACAATGCCTATATCTGTCTTTTATGGCAAATCATACAAACGTTGACAGAAGGTATCTTTTACTGCCTCCATGTTGAAGTCATTTCAGGCAAATGTGGATACTCTGCCAAGCGTTAGTCTGTTATGTCGTTTATGAGAGCATTTGCGCAAGTCCCATTGCATGATGTAGGTTGGCAGTTTTAAAATCCAATGAACAACGTTGTTTTCAGTTCTGTAGCAGTTAGGCGCGGCAACTTCTAGTTGCGCCAGAAGAACGTGTCTGAAGAGGGACAAAACTGTGGAAATGAATATACTGTCCATTCCACGTTGATTTCATGTGCACCGATAACTGGACGGAGCTATCGCTGCGGTCTTATGAGTACGTCTAGAAACGCTAGACTACGTAATTCATTGAAGATTCCCGTTGTAACATTTGAGAACAAAACACGAAATAGCGAACAAGTTCGTTTTCGATAACTTCCTCATCTGGCTAATACAGTTATATAAGCAGGTATAAGGCATATCACATTTGCATAACGTTTGACCTGTGTGTGCGCGTGTGGATTGGATTGGTAGATATAATTTGTTGTTTATGTGTGGTTTACAAACAAAAAATGGAGTGGTGGGTGGATGGGAAAGGGACGTGCCACAAGAGGGATTAGGACCGAGTCAGGGTTAACAATCACCGGTTTCGGGTACGGGGTCAACGGGTCGTGGAAAGAGTCAACTCCAGCCATGCAACTGAATTCACTCCGAGTCCACGGCAGTTGAAGTGCTTTAACGAATCGCTTTTGGGAACAAAGCGATGGGTTAAACAGGTGGATGGCT